CAACTGAGTTATGCACACATAAATGATATATATATATATAGATATGATTGAGGTAGTTTCCCAACAATAGGGGACCACAATATAGACCCCTATATATCATGGTCCTTATTATGAGACAAAACCCCAAATGAGGTACCCCTAATTTTGGGAAACCGCAATGTACATATCGGCGTTCGCAAGGAGGGGATCTTAATGCCGTGTTTTCTCAACCTTTCGGACCCTTCCTTTATCTGCTTCAGTACTCTAAACGCTAAACTGGAGCTCAAACAGCAGCAACCCAAAGCAATTTCCTGAGCCGCCGCATTTCGCCAGCGTATGCCAGAGTGTATACTTCTCAATATTTTGCAATCAACTCATATATAAGTACAGAAGGAGAGTTTCATAATAGGATCCTTTTGCTTATGTGAGCCATGGCCTAAGCTCCTAGTATCCCCTAAATAAGCCCTATAATGGCCCCCTATATAATCCCCTATATAAGCCCCCCAAGGAGTTTAGACCCTAAACCACAAACATTGAAACCCCAAACCCTGTATAAGCCCCCTTTAAAGGAGCTTGGACTATAACTCATGTGGTCTTTTGGGTCTCTATGCTTCCAATCCCAATGATGACTCCAATGTTCTAGGGATGTGTCTTGCAATCCTGGGTTTAGGTTTAGGGTTCTTCCAAACCTGGAAGTTACTGGACTTCTTATTACTACTATTGCTCTTATGACTACCCGCATTATTGTTTCTAGTATTGGTATTATTACTGTCCTTGTTGTTAGTGTCCTAACTTTGTGTGTCCTAGACAGACGCGTACTCGAGGCGATTACTTCCCAGACGCTGGGGTGCTCACAGAAGTACAACCCCTGCCCACCCATAGAGACCCAAAAGACCACATGAGTTATAGTCTAAGCTCCTTTAAAGGGTGGTAATACGCGGTTTAGGGTCTAAATTCCTTAGTCTATACCTCCGGATCATGACTTGCCCCAGCTTGCTTGATCTGCTGCCCAAAACCCTGTGGAGCACAGAAAGGCAGGTAAGCCTATTGTCAAACATGCTGGATGCAGAAAAGGTGGTACACACAAATGTGTTGTCCACAATATTGTTGTTTTGTTTTTGTTGTTGTGGTTGTTACTGCATGTGCTCACCACTGCATCTCGAACCACGCATTGCGTGCTTTGAGCTGCAGTGCTGGAGAATGTCGGAGAGTTATCCTGTAAAAGCCCCGCAGCCTCACTTGACTCATTCCATATGTCACTTACTAAAGCTCAGAAACCCCGTAGGTTTTTCCAAAACCCCACCATGCTTCTAGATGCTGACCCCCCGCAGCAGAACCCCCATGATCCGATATATGGATCTCCGACCTTTGGAAACATCCACCATCTGCTGGCTGGAGCACGTAATCATCGTTGTCCGGGTCATACACATTGTAGCGCACATATGCATCCTCAGGCAATGCGACGCTCAAGAGCTTTGCGTTTAGGGTTTTAGGGAGCATTGATTTGCTGTATTAAGTTTCTGGGTTTGTGGCTTTAGGCGCACAGACTCCAAGCGTAATTTGCAATGATGCCCCCCAAACCCAAATTGCTGGCTACCTTCCTTTACCGCCCAGGATCTGCTTGTGTTCTGTCATAACGCCGTACATAGCGCTTCAGAGACAGTGCTCATGAGACCCTACAGATGAGGGCTTAACGATGGCATTGACCCAGGCAACGCGCTCAAAGGGCTGAATCCGAAACTTGAAACCCCTGAACCCTAAACCCCATCATAGTAGTTTCAATGTTCTTTTCCATTATCCCTATATAACAATAAACCCTGCCATTCCCCTCTCTTGACCTTATACACCCCTTCAAAAATAGCCCGCTACTTCAGCACAGCCCTTCAACCCAAGCCAAACACCCAGACCAATTCCACACGCAACGTTCTCCTCGGTGGTAGGCAAGCATAGCGTTTCATCCATCCTCTCCTGCGTTCATGACAGAGTTTAGGGCCTTTGCGGTTAAAAGCCCAGGGTTTCGGGCTTAATGTAATCGTTGCATGCTTACTTTTTTACGGTCTGGCCAGGGTTTAGGGTATAAGTTTGCTAGAGCTTGAATAGCACTGATCTTGATGGTGGTGACGCTCAGCCCAAGCGATGATTGCAAAAGTAGCGCCAAGCGTCGTCGTCTTCATCGTAGTAGTGGCACAAGGTAGTACTGGCAGTACGGTACCTAGTAGTACTTGAAGTAACAGAAGTAGTAGACGTGGCGGTGGCCGTAGTCGTATCCATATAGTCTTATACCCGAGTAGTAGCAACAATAGCGTTAGTAGCGGCAGCAGAGGGACTGCCGGAACTGACAAGATGATCCCTGCCTCGTCGGAGTCGATCGAAGAGACTGATTCTACATCCTTGGCACGGAAGCGTAGTCTGGAATAGGGATTGAGATGTTCAACCCAAAAGCGTACCATGTTCCAAACCCGCAAAGAACATCTCACACAACTGATGGTCAAACCGAATCGTAGGAATAGTGACAGTAATTCTAGTGCAAGCAGGCCCATCTTAGCAAACTTCGAGGCAAGTGTCGCAAGTGTCCTCCTCAGTCTCAATTTCATTGCACTCGGCATCGTCCGGATCAGAGTACTTCTCAAGTTGGGTAGTTGCGACCTGTCCAGCGGTTAAGAGTTTCGAACTAGCTTGATAAGGCCCTGATCGACTTGCAATCTGCTGATGGCATTATGCCAGCAAGAGCGACACTTGCTCAGAATGTCTACTTCTGCAGATCACTCCAGTACGTACAAACGACTGCCAGTTACCAGGCTTCCTGCATTTTGCATCGATTTACCAACCTTTTAACGGCCTAGAATGTTCAAACAACCTACAGAAGCCCAGCTACTCCTAGGGCGCGGCATCGCTCTTTACTCCCTGTATGACCTCGTACATACACACATGCAGCCTAATGTTAACATATCATGATTGCTGCCGAGACAGGAAAATCTCGGAAGACAGCGTTTGCTTTCTAAAAAGTTTGGAGCCCAAAAAGATCTAAGCAAGGTCCATCGGCAATAATAAGGGAGGGCAATAATAACATTGTCCGCCTGGAAATATCCCGAGTTTAGTGGATTCCCTTCTACTTGTACTACTAGTACTGCGAGCTGCACTACCTGGTCCTACCCCAACCCCTTGGTTTATTACTGTACTCCCCCGTTTCCATAAACAAAAACGCAAAACAAGATCGGGGGGGAGTCTTTATTGTCATGTTAGCATTACTCTGAAGGTAGCTGGGCATTGAAGGGCGGGCGCTTGCGTCTCCTAATGCGCAAGTCCCAGGCCTCGGAAACCACTTCCATGGTATGCAGAAGCACTGCCAACAAATACTTGATCCAGAAAGCTTACTGCCGGCAACCCGCGGGGTTCAGAGCGCAAGTGGGGTTGCGGCAAAAAGCGTCCCGTTTTGCTTGACCCAAGCTTTGTTCTAGTTGAATACTACCTGTTCTTGATTGATTTTAAAACTTTGGACCTTATCGAGTTGCGGCGCACCAGGACAATATCTTCTGGCGCAGGCCTTATGGTACAACCCTTAGTGGCTGTATCACGCTGAAGTCGATCCAGCAACATCATGCTAACAGACGTTGGCAGAAGGGGTGGTAGTTGTGGTGCTGGTGCTGTAACTGGCGATGGTATAGACATGATAGCGTTGTGTGCGATAGTGATGATGGTGGTGGTGGCGGCGGCGATGCGGGGCCCGCGGATGTGGTGGATGATGGCGGCGGCCATGACGAAAACGATGACTACTACCACAACTACCGGCAGTACCTGGTTGTGCTAAGCTTCAAAACGAACAGCTACTCCCACTGCATCCCACTGCTACTCCCACGACCACCACCAGTGCCACTACTTCCAAACTGCTATAAATGCAACCGCCACACTTACTCTCAGTACAAGTACTGGTCAGTACTTGTAGTGTTAGTTTGCCCTGGATCTGGGCAACAGCAATCACCATGGTAATTAGCTAGAAGCCTAGATTTTGTTTGGGGTTTTCGGTCTAAATAGGAGTAAATAGGGGTTGTTAAGGGGGATACTAGGACGGATTATTTTGGGACTTTAGGGTCTAGATTAGGGATATAACGACTTAGGCTTTTGGAGGTAGCATCTTATATTGCGCTCAGAGTGTGGGATATAAGGATAGAGGTGGCAAATACCCTGAAAAACAGTTGAGCTATAGTCTAAACTCCTAGTGTCCTCCTGAAGAACCCCTATAATACTCCTCTATATAATCCCCTGTATATAACCGCCCTTTAAGTAATTTGGACTGTAGCTCAGATGGACCACGCTCTTTTTGTCTTCCCACTCCCACCGGCCAAAAAATCGACTCACGAGCTCTCAGCCTGAACTTGCTATCTGTGAAAAGATGCTACCTGGCTTGCGCCAGTGTGTTCTGGCATGTCCTGCACCCGCAGATCTAGGCAACTTTGAGCGTGTCTGCTGCGCGGTGCCATGAAGATACTCAGCTCGGAAATCCTAATTCAAGATGGAGTATACATACTCGAACAGGTCATTTCTCAGGACACATCCAAAACCGCCTCTGTTGGTTTTCTCCGGAGGCTACAGTTGCATGGGCTCCACAATTGTGCAGTCATATGGAAGGACGCATGAGAATGAGACAAAGCTTCTGTAGATGGTGGCGTCATTTCCAGAAAGTCTACATACGTACATCGTTGGTGATTATGGTCCCACATTATGCGGTGCCCCAACCATACGATACGTGATAGCTACCCTGAAACAAGAATACTATCAGCCTCTCGGCAGAACACAGCACCTACCGCACTTGGAGGTTCCGATGCTACCTGCGTAGAAGAACCTGAATGCAGGTCACTACTATATACACTTCTCCGGCCACTGCTCCAATTACAAACTAAACCCCAAGCCCTGAACCCTAAGCCCTAATCTAAACACCAAATCCTAAAACTAAAACTGTTAAGCCTAAATCCTAAGCCCTAACCCTCAAACCCTTGTAACACTATCCAACGTGTGGGCAGCTCTCACTTGCCCGCTGCCACCGCCGCCAGCTTGGCAGCCTTCATCTTATTTATACCTAGGGACCCTAATTAGGGTCTGGGGTTTAGAGTTAAGGGTATAAGCCCTAAACCCTAAACCCAGGGACCCTAATCAGGGTTTGGGGTTTAAGGTTTAGGGTTTAGGGCTTCTTGGGACCCTAAGCATGTCCCCAAAGGATCCTAAGTACATTTATGGTACAAAGTAGGGCTTCTATACTAGGAATGAATAACATGGCTTGGGTTCGCATCCCCTATATAGGTGCTTAGGAGCTTTATCCTTTGGGTACCATTGCCTAGTAGTTTCCCAAGATAGGGGGACCCCAATATGGGCCCAAAAATGCTAAAATCCTTGTGCTAGGGATCCCCCAAACAGCATCCTCTAATTTTGGGCAATTCCCCACTTAGGGATTGGGGCTAAGCCTTAGAAGCTAGGGTTTAGCGTTTAGGGGAGTTTAACGATTTTTTGGGCTTAGGGAGTAACACGAGAAGGAAATGGAAACTCGGATTATACAGGCTTAGTGCAGGGCTTTGGGTTTGCGAATCAGGGTTCAGGGTGTAGGATTAGGGTTTGGCGCCTGGGGTGTCCGAAGAACGTTTTGGGATAAGGGCTCAGGATTTAGGAATCGGGCTTTGGGACTACCATTCAGCATTTTGGCTTTAGGAATTAAGGCTTCTGGTTGTAGCTATGTAAGGATTAACCATGAGGCAAGAACTTAGAAGCGTATCATTATGTTTCTAAGGTAGCTGAGCTTTTGCTGGTGGTTGGAGCTAAGACTGGTTCTTAAAATATTCGTGCAGTTTAGGGTTTAGGGTTTGAAGCACTCCACCCAAGCGGAAAACATAAATCTATCTGTCTTGGAGACTATCGCGCCCATATCTACATGCTACTCAGTTGAGTTTGGGAGAAGAGAACCACATCCCTGGGGTGCATTCTCACAGAGGTTGATGTCGGGCCCTCAACATTCAACGGTGCTAGGTAAAGAATAATCAATATCGGGAAGTATTTGGGCAGCAGCTGCAGGCAGTGCAAACACTGCATGAGGCCTTCCAAAAGTATAAGTGGGTTTGACTGGAGCTTTCACAGAAAAAGCATGTGGGATGTAAGCCTTCAGACGACCCGATACCCAACACAGCTTCCATTTCATTGTTCATTCCTTTGACAATCAATGGTCTGTTAGGACCCCTAAATCCTACATGACACCTGCACAACGCTAGATGCGTTCTCATTTGAATTTGCATGTCCTTTTCCATGCGGATCTCCCTTGTTGGGTCTGTACACCCCGCATCTCCTTGCAAAATCCTTCTACAATCATGTTACGTGTTCTTTTCCCTTGGAGTCTACAGCATGTGGAGAGACGGGTCACCCTCAAGGATCCTACTGGAGATTTCTGGAACACACAAAGGTTCTTGGGGCCTCAAGCGGCTTCAATAGTAGTGATAATAGCACAGAAAGGACTGCCATGGGGCCTGGGTTTTTGCACCCACTATTTTCCTCATTTTGTTGATTGTAATCAGGCCCTCTGGGTTTTTGCATACCTAGATTCTCAC